TCCAGAACTGCCTGTCTGCCACTCTGGGTGTGCCCCCCCCGCCCCGCTGGCCCAAGAACCACCTGCCAGGCTTGCCCTTCAGCGACCTCCAGCGGGCCCCCGTTCTCTGTTTAGTCTGTGCGCGGGGCGGCGGGGGATGGGGGGACGGGTGCCACCCCGGGCTCTGAACCTTCCCAACCCTCTGCTGCTGATGCTCCCACTTTGCAGACAAGGAAGCTGGCTGGGGACCCTCTGTGTTTCAGGGAGCCACAGGGTGGCCTTTGGGGCTTCGCCAGCCTCACCAAGAAAGCGCCTCCCTGGTGGGCAAGTAGGGCCAGCCCTGCAGCAACCGTCTGCCCTCCAGACTCAGGCCTTTCTGGGTCTAATATCATGGGATGGAGTTTCCTGAGTCCACCCTCCAAGGCCGTGGACCTCCTCTCCCACCTGAACCCACAACCCACCAGGCCACACTCCAGGACACTGCCAGTGGCCCTCCAAGGCCGTGGACCTCCTCTCCCACCTGGGCCCACAACCCAGCAGGCCACACCCCAGGACACTGCCAGTGGCCGGCAACAAGCAGCAGCTCCCGCTCGAGCCACAGCAGTGAGGAGGTTCACAACAGGCATGGCTCAGCCAGGTCCGAAGGAGCGCCCTCTGCAGGCCGGGGTTCAGACAGCGACACCCACGGGCCACTCCTGCCTCCCTGACTCGGTCCTGGTCAAGGCCAGCTTCCTCCTCCCTCTTCCTGGCTTCCAGATAGGGAAAAGGAGGGTCAGGTGCCTGAAGCTGGCTAAGGGGGGTGTGTCTGCATTTTCTCAACCATTTTCTGAACTCTAAAAGACAGACCAGGCCCCGCTGCACAGCTTTGGGGTGCTAGCTGGGCCCCTTCCCAACCCAGCACCTCACTTCTGGTCTCCTAAATCCTCTCCTCTCTCCTCCTGAGGGTCAGGGTAAGTGGTGTCCTGTGCCACAGGTGCCACACTGGACATGTCAGGCCAGAGACACTGGAGGCCGGCAGTGGGCAGGACCAGGCATCCAGGAGGGAGAGTGCCAGGATACCACGCCCCCAGGCCGGACCCCCACCCAGCTCTGCCGACTCCCAGTCCCCACCACCTGGGGCCTCCCCAGTACCTCTGCAAAAAGAGTGACAACGGGGCTTTGCTCAAAGCCCCGGGCAGCTCATCTCCCCACCGCCCTCTTCCCCAGCTAGACCCATACGGAAGGCGGCCGTGAGGGCCCCGAGGAGGCAGCGCGGTCCGGGGGTGAGCCCGCCCCCGCCGCCCAGCCGGGAGGAGGTCCCGGAAACCCGCAGCCTGGCGCCAGCTCTCGGGAGGCACCGGGTCCCCAGGTCGCTTCAGAACCAGGAAGGACCAGGCTCTGGGGGCGGCGGGACCGGCACCCTCCGCTCACGTGGCCTTGGGGAATCCTCGAGGGGTCTTGCCCCGCAGCCCAGAGTCAGACACACCCCCCAGGCAGGGCGCGGGCGGCGCCAAGACCCAGGCGGAGGCCGAGAACGTGGCCGGCCGCACGTAGGCCAGAGACCGCGCCGGGGCGGAGCGGGGGACGGACCCGGGGCAGGAGGGAGGCCGGGGCTGGAGGCCGGGGCTGTAGGGAGGCCGGGCCGGCCCGAGACCCGGGTCCCAGGGCTCGGCGGGCGCTCCGGAGAGGCCGGGACGGAGGCGCCCCCCACCCCCTGCACCGCGACGCGGCCGGGACCCCCGCCCACCTTGCGCGTCGCCGCCGCTGGTCAGGACGCCGATGGCCTTGCCCGCGCCCGACGCCCGCAGCTTCTCCAGGTCCACCGCGGCCATGGCGGCGGCCGAGACCCGGGCCCAGCTCGCACTCCCGCCGCCTGCGCCGCGCCGCCGTCCCCGCCCCGTCCCCGTCCCCGCCCCGCGCGCGCCCTGCGCCCGCCCCGCCCCGGGCCCGCCCCTGGCGCCTCCTCGCAGGACGGACCGCGGATGGAGCAGGGATCTTGCGCCCTCTGCCCGCCGGGGCCGCCTTTCCGCTGTGCGTTTCTAAGCCTGTGCGATGTAACGCGGGCCCTGAGCAGTGAGACCCGGGGCAGAGCGCCACACCCCGGTGGTCTCGAGGATGTGGCCGGGGACCAGGGCGGGGCTGCATCCAGCGCGGCCGCACGCGTCCCTTCGCCAGTGCTGGGGCCCGGGTGGCACATCTGGCCCAGCTTTGCGTCTCCGGAGGTTCCTTGCTGTCGGCCGCAGCCACCACCCCTCCCTGCCACCCAGGAGCCCTCAGGGCTGCCTTCAGGCCTCGGCAGAGGCCAAACCCAAACGGGGCGCTGGAAAGCAGCCAGCATTCCTCCCTCCCTCTCCCTCCTTTCCTTCCTTCCTTCCTCACATTTGCTGGGCCCTTGGGAAAGTCTTGGTCCCCGGGTCCGGGGGTGCAGAGCTGGTGGTCAGGAGAGCCGCCTCCTGACCGCACGGTGTGTTCGGTTTGTGAAAGCTCAGCGGGCAGATCACTAGGATTTGTGCATTTTTCTCTACATATACGGTGGACGTGGTGGCTGTGAATATCGACTACTCCTTATTTAATTGTGAAATGTTAGAAAACACGCCGAAAGACTGCGCAAGCACATATGCGTGGGCTAAAAGGCGCTAAGAAGACACCTGTGTCTAACCCTGAGGCAGCCTTGGGCTGACATTTAGGGTCATTATTCTCTCCCTTTTCTTACAGCTTCATCGTGTGTGTGTGTCTTAAACATAACGTGGTTTAGCCACAATGAGATACCACCTGATACCCATTAGGATGGCTACTATAAAAGAAAAACACAGGCTGGGCGCAGTGGCTCACGCCCATAATCCCAGAACTTTGGGAGGCCTAGAGGGGCGGATCACCTGAGGTCAGGAGTTCGAGACCAGCCCAGCCAATGTGGCGAAACCTCATCTCTAGTAAAAATATAAAAATCAGCTGGGTGTGGTGGTGGGTGCCTGTAATCCCAGCTACAAGGGAGGCTGAGGCATGAGAATCACCTGAACTCGGGAGGTGGAGGTTGCACTGAGTGGAGACTGTGCCGTTGCACTCCAGCCTGGGCAACAAGAGCGAAACTCCATCTCAAAAAAAAAAAAAAAGGAAAGAAAAATGCAGAAAATAATCACTGTTCCAAGGATATAGGGAGGCTGGAACCCTCGTGCAGTGTTGCTGGGGATGTGAAACGGTGTAGCTGCTATGGAAAACAGGATGGCAGTTCTTCAAAAAATTAAAAATAGAATTACCATGTGATCCAGCGATTTTACTCTGGGTATATACCTAAAGAATTCAAAGCAAAGACTCACACAGATATTTGCACACACATATTCATAGCAGCGTTATTCACAACAGCCAGAAGGTGGAAGCACCCAGGTGTCTGCTGAGGAAAGCATTGGATGAACACAATGTGGTCGATCCATGTGCTGGAATATTACACAGCCTTAAAAAGGAAGCAGATTCCAGCACATGCTACAACATGGATGAACCTTGGGGCCCCCATGCTGAGTTAAGTAAGATGGACACAAAAGGACAGATACTGTGTGATTCCACTTCCATGAGATCCCTGGAGGATTCAGATTCACAGAGACAGAAAGTAGAGTGGAGGGTACCAGGGGTTGGGAGGGGAATGGGGAGTGAGTGTTTCGTGGGGCCAGAGTTTCCATTCAGGAAGCTGGAACAGCTCTGCAGATGGCGGTGGCATGGTTACGTGAGATGTGAATGCCACTGAACTTGAAAGTGGATTTTTTTTTTTTTTTTTTTGAGACGGTGTCTCGCTTCGTTGCCCAGGCTGGAGTGCAGTGGCCGGATCTCAGCTCACTGCAAGCTCCGCCTCCCTGGTTTACACCATTCTCCTGCCTCAGCCTCCCGAGTAGCTGGGACTACAGGCGCCCGCCACCTCGCCCAGCTAGTTTTTTGTATTTTTTAGTAGAGACGGGGTTTCACCGTGTTAGCCAGGATGGTCTCGATCTCTTGACCTCGTGATCCGCCCGTCTCGGCCTCCCAAAGTGCTGGGATTACAGGCTTGAGCCACCACGCCCGGCCAAAAATGGATTTCCTCTGTGGGGTGTTGTTTTTGAGGCAGAGTCTCACTCTGTCGCCCAGGTTGGATTCCAGTGGCATAATCATAGCTCACTGCAGCCTCGGCCTCCTAGCCTCAAGTGATCCTCCCACCTCAGCCTCCTGAGTAGCTGGGACCACAGGAGGATGCCACTACACCCTGCTAATTTTGTTTAATTTTTAGGATTTGTCGGCCTCGTTCTTTGTTTCTGGGCCCCTTCTTCAGCATTTGGGAGCCACTTTGTGTTTTCAGCCTTCATGGGTCAGAGCCCCAGTGGCTTCTGAAGAGGGGGGCTTTGGCAAGCTCCAGCCCCGTCATCCTATCAGCAACTAACCCCCACCAGAGGCCCTGGCCAGGGACAGGGAGAGGGGCAGCAGCTCGGGGCACAAGGGCCCAGCAATGCAGGGGCCAGGCAGGGAGGTCCACCTCTCAGGTAGTCAGGGGCCAAGCCTCAGGGAGCACCCGCCCCCCGCAGCCCCCCACTCCCTGCTCCCCGGCGCGTGCACACAGGTGCGGCAGCCGGAGCCCAATCTGTGGGCACCTGCCTGTGTCTGCACGAGCGCTGGCGTACCCTGGCATGCACCCTGCTCCCACAGCTTTGCACTTGCCAGGCGCGCCCCGAAGCTCCTTTCCTCCTCCGAGGAGGGTCCCTGTGACACCATCACATGCCCAGCCCTGCTCTGCCTGTTTCCTGCTTTGCAGCAGTTACCCCATCCAGGGCCACCCTCCTTCTTTACATGATCCACCCCTCCCACCAAAATGTTCCTTGGGGCCCCCCTAAGTCCCAGGAAAATACTCAGCATATGGAAGATGTATGATAAAGGTTTCTTGAATGAATGAATGAGGAGGTGACATTGGAGCTGAGATGTCAATGATGAGAAGCCAGACTCAGAGCCCCAGGGGAAGGAGCGTCCAGGCAGAGGGAACGCCTATCGAAGGCCGGCAGGTAGGAACGAGCCTGGCTGCTGGGGGAACGGAGGGAAGCCAAGAGCACAGTAAGGGGTGGAGGCCGGGGTTGGGGACCGGACCACGCAGGGTCTTGCGGGGTGTACAGCAAGGACTCGGGTTTTGCTGGGGGGCAGTGGGGGGCATGGAACAGAGCCTCGTGGTTTTGTTGGTGAACTCCTGCCCACAGGCACCCCATTCCCTTACGGCGAGCTCCCTTCCAGCCAGCTTGGCCAACACGTCAGGCACCAGGCACACGGTACACGAACGCCCCAAACAAATGCCCCCACTGACAAGCACCTCGAAACCACAGATTTTAATTTCCAGGCACATGATGGCTGGTGTCCCCACAAACACAGGGCTGTGTTTACAGCTGAGGACTGACAAGACGTGGCACTGTCCCCTTCTTGGTCCCAGCCGGCCGGCTTCCAGGGCTGAGGGAGGAGGTGTCTTTCTCGGCGCCCTCCCATCAGAGCTGCGTGTCCCGGCCGTCCAGGGTCAGGAGGGGAAGGGGGCCGCCTCGGCCAGCGGGCGGGCCATGCTCTGGATGGCCCACTGCAGGATGCCGTCAAAGGTGTGCTGCGGGACGGAGCAACTGTGAGAACCTCCAGGGGCGCCCCGCCATGGCCACAGAATCCTCCAACCTTCCCTCTAATTCAAAGGAGGGGAAACTGAGGCCTGAGGCCCCATGGCACAGGCCCATCTGGGTAGGACCCCATCCTGTGCACTTCACTGAATTCCATCCAAGGTGGGGAAACTGAGGCCCAAGGCCCCACGGCACAGGCCAGTCAGAGGAGGACCCCGTCCTGTGCATTTCACCGCATCCTGTAAGCCCAGGGCACAGCCCCATGGCAGTTCATGGCAGTTCTGCCTCCTCGGGTGGCTCCTTCGGGGTCACGGGTCAGGGCTGGCTGCTTCTCATTCTGTTCAGGAGCCTGATGTTCCCACAGGATATTCCCACAGGCCCCACAATGCCAGCAGAATAAGGCCGCCACCCTGGAGAGGCTGTAAGCCTGACCCTTATTTCTCCAGCTATATCCGGGGACCCCGTCCAGAGGGGCAGCTCCATTACCCAGCGCTGGGTCCCCTGGCCCACTCTCAGACCCTGAGGTTCTACAGACATCTGCACAGTCAGGGCGTGTGGGGCATGGCCACTGCACAGGGCAGGACCCCTGCCCCATGGTCAGCTGGGACCCCCAGGTGCCACACCAGACACAGGAGAAGCTGTGGAGGCTGGAGGAGCTTATCCTCTTGCCAAAAACAGAGGCTTTAAAAGTCACATTTTGCCCACAGATTCTACCTGCCCATCTTAGCATAGAGAGGCCTGAGTTGGGAGGGGCAAGCAACTCTCAGAGGGATGGGGCCCGAGACCCCCCCACTCCCACACCCCACCCTCCCTGGGAAAGTGGATCTTGAGCCTGGTGCTCGAGCCTTGCCTGCCAGGGTCTAGGCCCTTGGGCAAGGGGCCATGTGGGAGCTCTTGTCGGGGAGGGGCTGGGGGTGCTCAGCAGCACTGGACTCCTGCCGGGGCAGGGGCGGGGGGGGCTCCTGTTGGGGGGTGCCAGGGGCCCAGCAGCATTGAGGCTCCTGTGGGGGACTGGGGGGCTCCTGTGGGGGGATGCCAGGGGCTCAAGCACTGGGGCTCCTGGTTGGTGGCGCAGGGACAGCCTGAGTTTCCATGGCTCAGGAGCAGCGGGGGCTGGCAGTCCTCAGTGTGCCCAGGGTGGGGGGCCTGGGTGCCGGCTGAGGCAGGGGAGGGGGAGTGGAGGAGCAGCAGGTGCAGCCGAGGCCAGGGGAGGCATTACCTCGCTCAGAAGGGACTCCAGGTCCTCCCTGTGCAGAGTGGGCTCGTGACTGGCAGTGTCATCCTGGAACCCAGGAAAGAGAAGAGGTCAACCCAACTCCCACAGCCCTGGCGGAGACACAGAGGCCGCAGGGCCTACGGGCGGCGGGGATATTTCCCCCCACACTGAGACGGGAATTCTTACACCCAGCTCCACTGGGGGTGGGGGCACAGGGCTATGTGGGCATGCTGGGGCTGGGCTGCCTGCCCAGGGTCCTGCTCGCTGCCCACGGCCAGCTGCCCACGGCCCCCAGACAGCCTCCACACTGTGGCCTCCTGGGGAAAACGAGAGGGCTCAGGGAACCAGCAAGGAAGCCCCACTCTGAGAGGGGAAGTCTGAGGCCCAGAGAGGAAAGTGTCTGGTCCATGCCACCCCCGCCCCCGACAAGCACCACCAGGGCCAGCCCACGCCATGGGTGAGCGGCCAGAGTGGGGGGACGTCCCCAGGCGGGCACCCCCAGCAGAGAGGAGACCATATTAAATTGAACCCTGTGGAACTGCCCATTTGTAGCCCCAAACAGCCACATCCCAGCTCCTCCACTCGGGTGAACACTGGCGCTGCAAGGCCCTGCAGCCCTGCGTGGCTGAGGGAGGCGCTGTTCAGTCCGGAGGGGAAAGCCCCTGGATGCCCCCTGGTCCTAAGGATGCTGCCACTGGGTGGGAGACCTGCTCAGGACGGGGTCTGGGGGCACACCCAACCACCCTGGGGGAAGGGGGCAGACTGGGGGCACACCCAACCACCCTGGGGGAAGGGGGCAGGCTGGGGGCACACCCAACCACCCGGGGGGAAGGGGGCAGGCTGGGGGCACACCCAACCACCCTGGGGGAAGGGGGCAGGCTGGGGGTACACCCAACCACCCGGGGGGAAGGGGGCAGGCTGGGGAGGGGCCAAGGCCAGCCAGAACTTTTCCTCTAACATGGCGTCACATTTCACACCGCAATGAAAACACAGAGGTCTGTGCTGTTCAAAGACAGAACCCAGTAGGTTAATGACGAGGTACGCGCTGCAGGAGCAGCTGCAAGAAAGCTGCCTGGGGTTGGGGAGGGGCATCTGCATAGGCCTGGCTGGGCCCCGACTCCAAGTGGGTGGTATGAGGAGGGAGGCTTCTAGAAGGAAGGGGACAGCAACAGCTGTGGGCCACGCCACTGTTCCACAAAAGCCCCAAGGGTAGGGCTTGGTCTGAGGCTTGTGCCATGCCAGGCCAGAGCCTGCATGCTGGGGCAGCCTGTCACGTGCCTGGGGAGTACCATGCTGGGGCGAGCTCTTACCCTCCTGGGGAGCACCATACTGGGGCAGGCTGTCACCCTCCTGGGGAGCACCATGCTGGGGCAGGCTGTCACCTGCCCAGGGAGTACCGTGCCAGGGTGGCCCGTCACCTGCCCAGGGAGTACCATGCCGGGGTGGCCTGTCACCACACGGTGTATATGGGGTGGAGGCAGAGCTGGGAAAGTGCGTGGGCCAGTGGAGCAGGTGGGACATGTAATCACCCCAGGATCCCTAAAGGCTCCTTGGTGGCTGGGATGTGCTCAGGAGGCCTCTGCTGGGGACAGTCAGGGCAAGAGGCCACCACCCCTGAGGCTCCTGCAGCAGTGACTCAGGCTGCCCCAGCAGTCAGGGGTCCCCCCACCGCCCGGGTCCTCTCTGACAGCGGAGCAGGAGGAAAGGAAGAGCTACTGGCTGGACCCAGGGTTGCTTTGCCTCTCTGAGAGGCTCAGGCCACACAATGGGGTGGATCCCGGCCCCAGGGAGGACTGCGGGTGAGACAGCCTGGAGGGGTCAGACGGGTGGGGGTTTGCTCCTGCAGGCCTGGCGCTCCTGCTCTCCCCTCACCCCACCAGGGCACCCTGGTGAGACTCTCAGGCCTGTGCTGTGAGGCAGCCACACAACCAACCGTGATGTCAGTCACCAACCCTGGAGGGAGCTTCCTTTTAACTATATTTAAGTTGCCAAAAAGAATTAGGTTTAAAGGGAAATTATTGTCTACAGATAATGAGCTCATGGTCAGTGTGTATGGTGCAAACCCTCGAAGCTGGCACCAAGGGTTTGCCCTGAGATGTGCTGCCCCCACCCCAACCCGAGGGGTCCCCCACCCCCACCAACAACACTCATGGAGGGTTCCTGTGGCACTGACCTTGGCAGGCCCGGGGGCCAGGTGGGCGGGGCTGGGGGCCAGCACCCCCTCCACAGGGGCCGGGGTCATGTCTCCTGAGCAGGATCTGCAGCGCAGGCCCGTCCTGCAGCAGAGGATGAGGGGCTGCCAGGCTTGGGGGTAGCAGGAGTGCCACCTCTGTGGTATGGAGTGTGGGGTGCTGGGAGGTGGTGTTGGGTGTGGGATGTGGGCATGGGTGGTGAGTGGGGGATGGAGTGTGGGGTGTGAGGAAGGGGTGTGGGTGGAGAGTGGGAGTGGTGGGTTTGGGTGGGGTGTAGGGTGTGGGATGGGTGTAGGGTATGGGGTGGGTGTAGGGTGTGGGTGGGAGTGTGGGGTGGGAGTGGGGCGCAGGCTGTCAGTGGGGGCTATGGGGTGGGAGTGGGAGGTGTGGGGTGTGGAGTAGGGTGTGGCTGTGGGGTGTGAGTGAGGTGCAGGATATGAGATGGGGTGTAGGGTATGAGTGGGAGTGTAGTGGAGTGTGACTGTGGAGTGTAGGGTGTGGGTATGGTGTGTGGGGTGTAGGATGTGGGTGTGGGGTATAGGATGTGGGTTTGAAGTGTGGGATGTGGGTGTCGGGTGTGGGTGCAGGGTGGGGGTTGTGGGTGGGGGTGGGGGCTGTGGGTTGGAGTGGGGGGTGTGGATGTGGGGTGGGGTGTCAGGTGTGGGTGGGGTATAGGGTGTGGATGTGGGGTCAGGTGTAGGGTGTGGGTGGGGTATAGGGTGTGGGTGGGGTATAGGGTGTGGATGTGGGATCGGGTGTAGGGTGTGGGTGGGGTATAGGGTGTGGGTGGGGTATAGGGTGTGATGTGGGGTCGGGTGTAGGGTGTGGGTGGGGTATAGGGTGGGTATAGGGTGTGGGTGGGGTATAGGGTGTGATGTGGGGTCGGGTGTCGGGTGTGGGTGGGGTGCAGGGTGTGGGTGGGGTATAGGGTGTGGGTGGGGGGTGTGGGTGGGAGTGGGGTGCAGGTTATAGGGTGGGGTGTAGGGTGTGGGTGTGGGGTGGGTGGGGGGTGTGGGATGAGTATAGGGTGTAGGGTGTGGATGGGGTGTGGTTTGAGCTGTATGGTGTGGGTGTGGGTTTGGGCCTCCATGCCAACCGCACTCACCCAGGCCGGGAGGCGCCCGCCGGGAAGTGGCAGTGCCAGTGGAAGGCAGCAGCGCAGTGAGCACACCGCAGCACATCCATACCATCTCCGCACACCCCGCACCGCGCGCCAGGAGCTGGACTCTGTGGGAGGTGACCCCATGGGGTGACACAGGGGGCCGGGGGGAAACATAGCTGAACCCAAGCCCTCCGTGCTCTCCCCTGGGACCACCCAGGACTAGACAGCGGGTCTGGGCGCAAGTGGGAAGCCTCACGGTGCGGCCGAGGCTGCAGGACAGTGGGACCAGTCCCATCCCCAGGATGCAGGGGAGACCTCTCTCCCACTTGCCGGCCCGGCCTCCTTTGGGGCTGAGTGCAGGAGTCTCCTGAAGGGCGGTGCCCACAGGACTGCAGTGAGGGGAATTGAGGCAGGGCGGGGCGGGCTCCCATGTGCGCTGGGCCATCCCCCCCTTCATTGTCCTGCCTTGTGGGGGGAGCAGTAATGCCCAGAGCCAGGAGCTGGAGTGGAGGTCTAGGAGCCTCCCCTTTTCCCTGAAGCCCCCCACGCTCCCCCACAGCCCCAGGCCCTGTGCCTCCCAGACCCTGTCCCGCCTGGCCTCCCTCTCCTCCTGTTTCAGGTGAATTCATCCGCCATGTAGATCCTGGGCTCTCTGAAGAGCCCACCCTGGCCTGCACTCCCCGCTCACCTGCTGCCCCTCAGGACCCACACACAGTAGGGGGTGCAGGGCCGAGGAGTCCAGCCCTGGCAGGGGGTCTGCAGAAGGTGGGGCTGGCAGGTGCTTGCAGACAAGAGCCGTGTCCATGCCAGTTAGGGGCTCCCCAGGTGGACCTCTCACCTCCTCTCCCACCGACCTAAGCCCCGGAGGGAGCTGGAACCCAAGGGTCAGCATCAGAGGGGCCGTGGGCACCTGCCGAGCACCACCCGGGAGTCAGTGACTGCTGGGACCCTGAAACCCGGGGCAGCAGGGTGGGGGCGAGGGCCGGCGTGGTGGAAGGCGTCCACACTGAGTGGGAAAGGCCTGTGGTAGTTCCTGGTTCTGTGGTCCTCCCTTTTCCCCCGTCTACACACGAGGGCCCCCTGGCCCTCAGGGCTGTCAGAGGGAACACTGGGCCTGTGCACAGTAGCTCTCCTGTGTTCACAGCAGCAGAACGACGAGCACATCTTCCAGGGCCGTTATCAACGTTCATAGTGCCTCCCCAGGGTGGATCCGCAGCCAGGAGAGCTGGGTTTCGGCCCATAGGAACCATGATGGGGGCTCCACCGCAGGGGACCACAAGGACCAGGCTTGGGCATGAGGGGCACAGTGCTACGGCTGGGGCAGGCCTGTCCCACAGGACTCCAGGGGACAGACAGGAGGGGTGGCCCGGCCTAGAAGTGGGCGTGGCCATACCGGGGTCTCCACGGGTGGCTCCTGGGGCCGGGGCTCCTCTGCCCGGGGCTGCATCTCCTGGACTGTCACCTGCAGGCAGCCGGAGCACCTCCAGGTCCCACTGCTCGTGCGTTTACCAGTCAGAGACATGCGGAACAAGACAGCGGGTGACAGATCCCCAAACCCACGGGTGGGGCTCGAGGGCTCCGCCACACCATGTCCTTTTACGGAGGGGGAACCGAGGCACAGCAGGAAGATGGGCAGAGACACAGGAAGGGAGAGCCTCCAGGGGGACATTTACCCTTAGTGGGGTGGCCCTGGCCAGCACGATCAGGGTCCCCTTGGTGTGCTCTCTGATGAACCCCAGGAATCCCCAACGCCTGCGAGCCCACAGTGGCTTTGCCTGCCTCTCAGGGCTGGGCCCTGCCAGTGGCCTCCCTAAGCTGACTGTTTATGTCCTGGGACCCACCCTGTTTCCTTAAGGGGAATGGCACCCAGCAGAATGGGAGGCGATCAAGGGCAGGAAGAGACAGCAAGGAGGACGGCTTCAGAAGGAGCCGAGCGAGGCCCCTGGCTGTGCCCCTTATTCTAGTGATGACGCAAGAGGCTGAGAGGGGGCCTGGTGACGGCCACTCAGGGGCTGGGGCAGAGCCTCGCCTGAACGTGGGTCCCCACTCCTCCCAGAGCTCTTCCTCCCACAGACTGCCACGTCCTGTGGGGTTGGAGTGAGGGCAGGGCTCGGTGGCCTGTGCGGAGGGAGTGCTGGGATGTGAACACAGAGGAGGCCTCCCACCCCCACTAAGCCCGGGGTCCTGTGCATTGATGGACAAGCTCCCACCTGCCCTTGGGGGCACAGCTCTGTGGCCTCTGTGCTCCCCAGCCCTGTCTGGGGTGGGACTCTGGGGCGGGGCTTGGGGGTGGGGGCTGCAGCCTGGGATGAGCTTGGACAGGGTGGCATCTTCACCCAGGTCCTCTGTTCTGCTTTGCTGCCCTCAGGGGCCCAGCTGGGCAGCCGGTGTGGCCAGGCTGGGAGGCAGGTGGCAGGGTGGGAAAACCCCAGGCCCTGGCCCCATGGCCCAGTGACCTGACTCAGAGCCCCCTTCCGTCAGGGATGGGAGAGCCTGGGGAGGCTTCCCTTCAGGGTCAGTGGGTGGAGGTGGCTGTGAACTGGGGTGACCTGGTTGCGCTGGCAGAGGTGCAGGCTCACCTGGGGATCTCCTGGAGTGGCGGGGACAGGCAGGCCAGGTGGAAGGCCCGAGGGCAGCCATCACAGCAGATGAGCTCCCCGCCGTCCCGGCACACAGCACACTCGTCCTCGTTCTTCTGGCACAGGCAAGAGATGCCCATGCAGACTGGGCTGGGGTGCAGCACCCTCCCGAGAGCCACCTCCTTCCCAAACGGCTCCCCCAGCATCTCTGGGTACCTGAACTCCCCAGTCTCTGCCCTGCTCCCATGCTGCTAGGGCCCGAAATTCCGCCCTGACCACCTGTTCCCCATCCATCTGGTCTCTAACGGACACCCCTCGGGGCCGTCCCTATTGGGAAGAAAACCGGTTTCTCATGGGCTGCTGTGTTCCAGGGGCTGGAACTGTACACCCACCACAGGCACCCTTCCTCACAGGGAAGTGGGGCCAGGCCCAGGGAGGTCTCTCCTGACCTCAGCACCTGCTGAACCCTCCACCCGCAGCCGCCACCCTCCTTGTGCCCTGCCTGGATGGTGCCTGCTGTGCCTTCAGGGGTCTCCCAGATACCACCTCCTCCAGAATCCCTCCAGTCAGCCAGACTAGGCTGGTCCTGCACAGCAACGACCTTACTTATTCTAACAATCCGCCAGAGGCCTGCCAGCCTGGGTGCCCCTGCAGGGCAGGACTGGGCCCTGTCACTCCTAAGTGCCAAGGCCCCACAGAGCCCCTGGTGCCAAGTGGTCAAGATCTGTAACTCACCACGGCAGGCACCCACCACACTGCTTCCACCCCATTAGGAAACTATGCTGGGGACCAAGGACGAGCTTGGCATTCCCAGTGGCCCCTCAAGCTCCTGGCTGTAGCAGGGGCGCCCGGCCCACCCACGGGCCCAGCTGAGAGCAGTGCGTACAGCCGGGACCAAACGCTGTGCTTTTAAGAGCCTGAGAAGACCTCACTTTCTCTGAATTATTTAAATATTACAATTGTATATTATCAGGAGAAAATACTGTCTGTTAAAGAAAAAGAGCTCTGCCCTGTGGGAGGGGCTCAGGCCCCAGTGCTCATCCCTGAGTGCCCAGGTCAAGGCAGAGGCGGCAGGACCCAGCCGAGGGGAGCGAGGACAAACAGGGGCCCCTCCTGTGGTCTAGGGCATTACCTGGTGGAGCTGGGGGTCACTGGGGAGGGCTGGAGGGGCGGGAGCCCTGCCCTGCTGGCCCAGCCTAGCCTCACCTCCACCCTGCAAGGAAGAGGGGCGTCAGCAATGGGGGCAGCCTGAACAGCGAGGGTGCACACAGCTGTGGCACCAGGCGTCTCTCGGCAGCAGCCGCCAGCCCCCCAGCAGAGCCACTCCCCCAGAGGCAATGCTGTTCCTGGGGTGGGGGTGCATCAAGAGCCGGGCTCCCCAGGGACGGTCAGGTGCTTACGGCGGCAGCGCCCTGGGCTCCCTTGGCTCGAACCAGAGGCTTCAGGCCACCGCTGCTGCGGGCCTTGTTCTTCCCACCACCGGGGTCTTCGAACTTGCTAGGAGTGTAGAACTCCCCCCCGACCTGGATGCACTTCTTGGAGCCCCCTGGGAGGAGATACCGGCTGGTCCTGGCTCCCCTACCCAGCAGGACCTGCCTTGGCAGTCGTGTAGGCCCCAGACTGGGGTCTAGCAGAGACAGGTGGAGTTCCCACAGCCTGCATTCCTCCAGCCCACCCCCACCCCAGTCTGGGGCCCGGGGATTGTTCCGGGTCTACACCAGGGTGTTCAATAGTGTCCCCCAAAGTTCACGTCCACCTAGAACCAATTGGGGTCATTATAGATGTGATTAGTTAAGATGCGGTCACACTGGACCATAAGTTCAATGACTGGTGCCGTTGTAAAGAAGACACATGGGAGACGGCTGTGAGACCGCAGACGCAGAGACTGGAGTGGTGGGACCCCGAGCCCAGGAACAAGGGGCACAGGGATACCCCCATAACGACCAGCAGCTGGGAGGGACAAGGAAAGATTCTTCCCTGCAACCTGCAGAGGGAGTGTGGCCCCGGGACACCTTGATGTTGGCATTTCTGTCATTTCAAGCTTCCCAGTTTGTGCCATTTGATCCAACAGCCTTAGGAAGTAACACAGTGGGCCTTGGGACCACCCAGAAGTGCAAGACCAGGGCCCTGGCTGTGCCTCGTGTTCCCAGCCCATGCCCAGCACCGAGGAGACGCCGTGGCAGGGACTGTAGATGGAACGCCTGATGGCACGGTGGGTCTGCCACCAGCAGCCCTGCTGTGCCCTGGTCAGATGGCACTGGTGATTGCATGGGGTCAGTGGCTGGCCAGGGAATGGGGGGCGAGGACGCTGCAGGCTGTCCTGGTTGAAGAATGCAGACACCCTGGAGGGTCTCGGCAGCACAGACAGAACTTTCTAAGGATGCAGCCCCATGGCCCAGGAGGGCCCATGCACATGGATGGAGATGACTGGGGGTGCAACGCATCCTGGGCTGGGATGTGGGCCTAGACCACCGGCCTTGAAGAAGGTCCCCCGATAGGGAGACTTCAGTGCCCACTCTCCTCCTCCAAAGTCATCAGAACCACAGGCAGCAACTCTGGCTACATGAGCGACAGCCCTGCCTGCTGTGGGACCACCAGGGTGCAAAGGGGCGTGGAGGGACGTGGAGGGGCGTGGAGAGGGGCGCGGAGGGGCACACAGGGGCGCAATCCTCCTTCCATCTTGGAGCCTGGGTCTCCCCGTCAGTCCCGTCTCCCCGCCACAGCATCTACCTGACTCAAACACCTGCTGGATGAGAATTCCCTCCACGGCCCCTCGGGCTCCCGGGACGTCCCCAGAGGACATGGTCACAGCTCTCTGGACTGAAGCTGACATGGTCTGAATCCCTGGGAAAGGGAGCACCCATTGGGGTCACCCATGGGGAAGACAGTTCCCGAGCACAAACTCTGTGCCAGGAGCAGGCAGTACGGGGCTGCAGAGCCCTTTCCTTCCAGCCAGGGCAGGCCGAGGATGGAGCCCAGCCCCGCCTTGTGCAGACAGCCCACAGGTAAGGGCAGAGACATGAGAACGTGTGTGTTCGTGTGTGCACCCGTGTGTGCATGTGCTGGGGGTGGCAGTGTCAGCAGAGCTGGCACAATGGAGAGGAAGGAATGCCCAATGACCAGCCCCCACCATGACATGGGCCCTGCATTGTGCTGGGAGGGACACAGAGTTCCTAGGCTCTGCCCTCAGGGAGGGCAGCAGTGGGCATAGGGGGTCTCTGGAGTCCAGTGCCCTGGGAAGGAAGGAGAAGGGGACAGGAAGGGTTCAGCCTGCATGCAGCTGGGGGCCAGGGATGATTTTCTGGAGGAAGCCATGTCTGGACTGGTCCTGAAGGACAGGGAGTGGACAGGCAGAGAAGTGCCTGAGAAGGGGGTCCCAGAACCAGGGTGTGGTGGGGGCAGGGGCGACTGGCAAGATCGTGCATGGACCCAAGGCGTCCCCTTCCTGGGTCTGGTGGTGCAGCTTAGGCCCTTGGAATGACACGCCAGGCCAGCATGGGGAGCCCCTAGGACAGGGTCTCAGAGGGCAGGCCCTGCTCTGACCCCTGACCCCTTGCCCCTGGCCAGGCAGAAGGGAGGCGCTCCCACTGGGCCCCACTCACCGTTCCCAAGTGGAAGACGCTGCTGCTCTGCGCTGCTCTCCGCCTTCTTGGGGGGCTTGGCCTTCAGTTGAGAGCCTGAACGGGGGAGCTGGGGGCAGCCTGGCCTCCCCTCTCGGTGGGGGTGAGTGCTGGTGAGCAGGGGCCGGAGGAGGGAGGGGTGGAGGGGGCCCAGTGCTGGGTATTCCCTTTGCCGGGCTCTGGTTTCTCATCAGTAAAAGGAAACCCGCCTGCCTACTTTGCCAGCCCTGGGGAGGTCACCCTTCAGGTAGGAGGGAGCTGAGAGGCTGGTCCAGTGTGTTGGTCTAGTACCCAGAGGAGACCCCCACAGCCCCAGGCAGGCTGGCTCCACGCCCAGTGGGTGGGAGCCCGGGTGGGGAGGGGGCATGGGCTCCCGGGGAAGACTGGAGACCCCGGCTGGCTTCCCCTGTGGGGTACCTGGGCTGGAAGTGCCCCTTGGAGTCAGGGCTGCTGGTGCGGCAGCTCGAGGTTCTTCTGAGGCCTTCCTCTTGGTGGGGTGTCTGGGTGGTAGTACCAAAGCCTTGGGGATGGTCGGGAGCTTCCTCCCCTTCCGGGATTGGCTGAGGTCCACATCTGCAGCTCAGGGGCAGGAGCAGGGTCCCAACCTCAGGGTTTTCTCCAGGAGAAGGATGGGCCCCAGAAACTGGACACCCTGGCCAGGTGGGTGAGTCTGGCCCCTTTGCCTCTTAGGATCCAAGATCGTCCTGGGACATCACCCACGGGCTCCTCAAACACCACTCTGGTTCCAGTCCAGCTGGGCTGAGCAGGTGACAGCAGCTGCCCCAGGCCCCCAGCATGGCTGAGCCCACCAGGACCCACCTTTGGGGAAGCTATCCAGGATGGGCTGCAGCCGGCCATAGCGCTCCAGGTTGTAGTCCTTGAACAGAACTCTCCAGAAGTCCAGGATGACTGTGGAGTCCTGGGTCAGCAGCCAGGACAGGAGGGCGTGGAAGGCCTGGGGGCAGCCCTCCTTTTCCTTCAGATGAAGCGTCTCCTGCAGTGGGGTGGCATGAGGGTCCCTGCCGTGGTCCCCCACACCCTGCGGCCTGCCCATCTCCACCTTGACTAGAGGGTGGAGCTCCCAGGCAGAGGTGCTGGGGACCTGGGCAGCTCCGTGCCCATCTCCTTGGCTTGTGGTGGGGTCAGGTGGTGGTGTAGGCTGTTGAGGGTGGGACTGGGGGAACCTGGAGGTCATTCCCTTGGCTTGGGGGTGAGGTGTGGGGACGGCTGGGGGAAGGGGACTAACTTCTAACTTGTCCTCAGGGACGCCCTGGCTCCTTGCCGGGAGGGAGTTGGCGAAGGCTGGAGGGGCCTGGGGATCTGGAGGGGCGGGAGGCATGGGGCGGGGTCCTCCTGGAACTTCCCTGGGGACTATCCCTGGCTCACAAGGCCTGGGGGCCCACCTGGAACTTGTCCTCGGGGACCACGTCGTGGTCGGCCAGCGCGTGCAGCAGGGGGAAGGCGCTGTCCACGGCCACCGCGATCTCCGTGCGGTGCAGCCTCAGAAGCCGGCGCAGGGCTGCGTCCGCCGCCATGGGGTCAGCGCGGGGACCCGGGGCTGGGGCGGGCGCGGTGGGTCCCGGGACACTGGCAGGCCCTCGCCTGGCCTCGGGTCCGGGGAGGGGCTGTGGGGCGTCCGCGCCGGCTGTGCGCCCGCCCGTCTCCCTGGGTCTGCGAGCCAAGCGCGCCGCTGTTATACCCCCGCGACCACGCAAAGAGCAAAGGCCGCTCCGCCCCGGCGCCCAATCAGGGCCAGAGCCTCCCGCGGGGCGCATCCCTGTGATGAAGGCGCTGCGCTCCCTCCCTCGCTCCTGGGAAGTCTCCGCACCGGCCTGACTCACCCACCAGGGCAGCTGCTTTGGGGGCTGGGGACGGAGACTTGCTCTGCGCGGGACTCAGAGGCCTCTCACTTCCCAGTGTGGCCCCGTCCTGCCTCCCAGGGCCCTGCTCGAATGGGGCAAAGCCGGGACAGGTGCCCTCGGCGGGGAGCTCGGGCCTCAGGGCCCTGGCAGGGGCTGCCCGGGGTGCAACGGCCCCTCCCAGTGGCCGGCAAGAGTCTCCATGGAGGCTGGATCGGGGTGGTGTCCCTGGGGGACCTCCACACAAGCTGAAAGCCCCTACTCAGGGGCCCGCCTGGGGCTGTGGGAGGAGCCGAGTGGAGGCCCAGTCTGATGGAGGAGACGGTACCGCAGCCCTGGGCGTTCCCGGGGAGGCTCCTGACTTCACCATCTTAGGCTGGCTGTGTGATGCCAGGCAAGTCCTTTCCTTCTCTGAGCCTCAGTTCCCTGATCTTTAAAAAGGGCGCATTCGCCTGGGGACTGAGGCTCGCACTGACCCCCTACTTCCCTCCTCCAGCTGCTTTAGAAGGAAGATGGCCGGCCCCACAACGGGGCCCCTGAGTGTGGCCCTGAGGGAGGGCTCCCTAGAGATCTTCCTAGGACCAGCGACAGAGGCTGAGGGATGCTGTGGCCTGGACAGGAGCTTCCAGGGGCATCCGGGAAGGTGTCCTGGAGGGGAGCTGCAGTGGGCAGGAGCCAAAGGTCCCAGGTGGACAGGGGTGGGGACAGTGCCCCCAGTAAAGCAGGAGCAGGTGCAGAGGCCCGGGGCCTGCAATGATGCCGAGGCTGTGGCAGCCTCGCAGGCATGGCCTGGAGTAGGGTGGCCTTAGTGGAAGGCCTTGGTAACACAGTCCCCTAGTCTTTGCGGTCAAGCCAGGGAGGCAGGCCCTGTGTGCAGGCTGCAGAGAACCACGAGAGGACTCTGGGCACGAGTGTTCCCACTGAGTGGGAGAAGGGAATGACCTGGCCAGCAGGGTTAGGGCTGAAGGGTGGACGAAGGTACCAGGAAGGCTGAATCCGGGCAGTACTGGGCTGAGGGGATAGCTGATGCAGTGAGAGATGTCACCAAGGGTCCCAAGTGGGCAGGCGTGCCATTTGCTGTTGGGCAGCCAGAGTCCAGGATGGGGAGTGGCGGGCACCTCTTCTCCAGACCGGAGGTCGGTCTCGGTTTCTCCTACCGCCTCCAGGCCCAGGGTCCCCCTGAGCGTTCTGCATGTCTGGAAAAGACTCTGGGGGTGTTTGGGAACAAACCTGGGGAGGAAAGTGGGGCCAGAGGTGGTGACTGAGGTGGTCAGCCTGGGGTCAGGTGCTGGGGACGTCGTGGGGAGCTGTGGGGGAGGGGGTCCATCAAAAAGCCAGGGGTAGCTGTGGAGTATCAGGCAGTGCAGCGGGGGAACAGGCTGGCTCCTGTGTGGAATGTTGTGGGAGCTCTGAGCTGGGAGCAGGGCCCTCTCGCTGCCCATGCCTGGGCGTGTGGAGTGTGCTCTCACTCCCTGCACTTCGCCTTCTGAAGACCCCGGGAGGGGAGCCCCCTGCCTGCCTGCCTGCCTGCCTTGCGGGTCCCCGCTCCAACAGGCACATCCTGTCCCCAGCCAGGCCGGGCTGCTGCTCGCTGGGTTTCCTGCCCTCTCCCCTGTAGTTCTGTATTTACAGCAAAAATATTTAAGTAAGCGCAAGCGGAAGTCGTACAGAAGGCCAGCTCTGCACTGGATCCCTGCCTGCTCCTGCAACACCCCCATTCTCCTTGCTCATCCACGGGCAGGCTCTCACGTGGGGAGAGCTCACTAACATCAAGTTCAATGGCAACCCTCGGGCCCACGGGCTCCACCGTTCATGCATAAAAGTCCGTGGGGTGCCAGGGAACCAGTGCACGCAGCTTTGGGATGACCAGTAACTGTTGCTCCCGGCAACTCGGCTTTCTTCTCTCCTTTGAGGCCATCCTGCCCTGAAGTCACTCCCTGGTGGCCTTTCTCTCCCCAGATGGTTAAGTGAGTCAATGGATGCCTTAGCCGAGAGATAGTTAAAGGGGAATTAAAAACTGCAAAGCAAGATCCAAGTCTGCACTTCACTTTTTTAAAAAGACCTGAAATCTTTGCGGGTGCACCTGTGTCATCGGGCTGGGGCCTGACCCCTGTGGGCAGGCGTCACCCAGCCTCTTGCATGGAGGTTAACAAAGAGGCCCCTGTAGAATTCTGGACTTTCCACCATGCCGTGGGGCTTTCCGTCCCAGCCCCTTGCCCGTGGGTGATCTGGAGCTGCCAAGGCTCCCTGGAGGAGGCCCTGGTGACATAGACCCCTGGAACGGAGTGAGGAGCTGGGGGATTGGCCCTGTCTTCAGTGGGGCTGATGCCTTTGTGAGACTGAGTCTCACTTTCCCCAAGAGGCGCCTGGGCAGAGCTCTGGGACAGTATTGGGCTCTATCCCTGAGCCCCATGTCCTCGGCTGGAGCGGGGAGCGCCCGGCAGCCCTTTCTCCCACATCTGTGCTTTTCCCCTGGACGCCTGCGGGCCTGCCACGCCCTGGGCTAGGCCTTGAGAGCTTCATGATTCTGCTCACTCCATCAGCAGAACAGTCTCCTCAGGTCGTTTCATCGTGATTAGTGCCATCACGATATGGAAACTGAGGCCCATTGCAGGGAGGAGCTTGGCTGGAGTTACGCAGCTGCTAAGAACCATGACTCAGACCTTGATGCACGGAAGAACAGAGGTTTTCCAGGTCCATGCTCCGGCTGTGCTGGGTGCCCCTCAGGTGCCCAGGTCACGTCAGATGTTCTCAGCCTGCGAAGAGGGGGGACGCTGCCTATGTGATGTGTACAGAAGTCGGGAGGAGCCAGGTCCTAATGGCAGAGCAGGGAAGGGGCTGGAGGGGGCTTGGCCTTGGCCCCTCAGACAAGCCTGGACTCCATGCCTGCTCTCCTGCTCTAGCTGGAGGTTCCATCCCCTGGAGCTCCCTGGAAGGGCCAGGCTCCCAGAGGCCAGGAGTCTGAGTCAGGATGAACTCGGGAGATGTGGAGCCTGGGCCAGGCCTTGGTTCTTGGAGGCCCAGGGCCCTGCTCCTGCAGCCTGGGCGGGTGGTCTGGCATCAGGGGAGGTGTGGGTCTCCTCAGGACACTTTGCAAGGACCCTAGCACACTCCTGGCCACCAGCTTCCTCACCAGGCCTCAATTTCCTCACTGTAGAGAGGAAGTTGCCTCTGCTTGTTGAGGGCAGGACCGCCGTTCCACACAGGTGTCCAAGCCGGGGAGGCAGGTCCGAGCACCAGCGAGCTCAGAAGCACCCCTGCTCAGCCAAGGGCGTTGGGTGGGGGGGAACCTCCTGCCCCCTCCCCTCCTACTAGTCTTGTCTCAAACCTGCCCCGCTGGTTGGGCCTCAGGTTCCCTGGTCTGGCCTCTCCACTGCATCCCACTGTGGGTATGTGTCCAGACAGGGTCACTTTTCTCAGTGAACTAGCTGGCTGTGGTGCCAGATTTTTTCTTCTTTTTTTGCAGAATTGACCATCTGCCTTGCAGTCTTACCAAATGGCCTAGTAGGAGGGCCGGGGCCTTCTCAGTGGACAGGCCCTGGGAGAACAGAGCCCTGCCCTCTGCCCCCGCGAAGCCCACCAGCTATGTACTGAATGTTGGACTCCCCCCAGCATTCTTACGTCATAGTCTCACTCCCAAGGTGATAGTAGTAGGGGGTGGGACCTTTGGGAGGTCATTAGGTCGTGAGGACTCTGCCCTCAGGAACGAATGACTGCCTGTATAAAAGGGGCCTGATGGCTGGGCACAGTGGCTCATGCCTCTGAGCCCAGCACTTTGGGAGGCCGAGGCTGGTGAATCATCTGAGGTCAGGAGTTCGAGACCAGCCGGGCCAACATGGTGAAACCCCATCTCTAGTAAAAATACAAAAATTAGCTGGGCGTGGTGGCACAACTGGAATCCCAGCTACTCAGGAGGCTGAGGCAGGAGAATCACTTGAACCCGGGAGCGGAAGTTGCAGTGAGCTGAGATCACGCCACTGCACTCCAGCCTGGGCGAAAGAGCAAGACTCTGTCTCAAAACAAAGGAGGTGGGCCTGAGGCAGCCCCTGTGCCCCTTTCTCCGTGTGAGGATATGTAGAAGGTGCCATCTAGGAACCAGGAAAAAGGCAACAGGACCTCAACAGACATGGTGCCTTGATCTTGAACTTCCCAGCTTCCAGAACTGTGAATGATAAATTTCAATTTTTTTCTTTTTCTTTTTGAGATGGGGTCTCACCCTGTTGCCCAGGCTGGAGTGCAGTGGCGCGATCTCGGCTCACTGCAACCTCCGCATCCCGGGTTCAAGTGATTCTCCTGCCTCAGCCTCCCTCGTGATCTGTCCACCTCGGCCTCCCAAGGTGCTGGGATTACAGGTGTGAGCCACCGCACCTGGCCACTTTCTACTGTTTATAATTGCCTGGTCTAAGGACTCTCTTGCAGCAGCACAGTGGACCGAGACACCTGTCACGCTGAGAGTCACACACCCTGAGTCACTCTGGTTTTGCTGCCCTGCCTGCCTCTCTCCTCCCTCTCCAGTCTGGTCATGCTGAACGGACCAAAGCTCCTACAGATGCAAAGAGTGACTCTGGGGGTCGGTGCGCTGTCGGCAGCAGGACATGAAGTCACCAGGGGCACTAGGTCAAACGCCCTGGACAGTGCAGTGCTCTGGGGTTGGGAAGGACACCCATCTGGAACTGCACAGCCCACCGTGGGGCCCACCTGCTTTTCTGTTTTGATCCCAGAGTCAACAGCCCATCGACCAGGGATTGTAAATAGCAGGAAGCCTAAAATTAGGAGGAAGGGATGACAACAAGTGCTGACTGCAGCAGGGCACAGAATGGCCCTTGGAGACCTCAGGCCATACTTGGATAAACGTATTTTTCCATCTGGTTAGCCCACCAGCCCAGTGTTGGGTGTAGCAGGACCATATGCTTCAGTTACGAGGCCGGCCTTCAATTTGGAAGAAATTCAATTTATCAACTTTTCCTTTTACATTTATTTTCTTGTGCTTTGGAGTCAACTCTAAAAATTCTTTGCCTGGCCCTGGATCCTGAAGATTTTCTCCTATGTTTTTTTCTAAATGTTTTATAATTTTACGTTTACATTTAAATCTTTGTGATCCCTTCCAAGTTAAATTTATAGAAGATGTGAGACCTAGGCTGAGGTTCTTTGCCCCCACTCCATGGGTGTCCAGTTTGTTGAAAGATTGTCTTTCTTCCATTACATTTCTTTTATATCTTTGTCAAAAGTTACTTAGGCAGTAAATCAAATGGATTCAAGACCTACATAGAAAAGCAAAAGCTACAGAACTCTTAGAAGGAAACATTGAGAGAAATCTTCATGACATGGATTTGTTAGTATTTTCTTAGATATGATGCCAAAAACATCAGATAAATAAACTGAACTTCATCAAAATTAAAATGTTTCTGTAGGCCAGGCACAGTGGCTCATACTTGTCATCCCAGCACTTTGGGAGGCCAAGGCAGGTGGATCACCTGGGGTCAGGAGTTGGAGACCAGGCTGGCCAACATGATGAAACCCCATCTCTACTAAAACTACAAGAAATCAGCCAGACG